AAGCTTCTCCTCAAGCGATGGAGGAGCTTGGAAAACTCCTGTCAGGATACAGTCCCTGCAGGTGAACGCAAGAATCACGATAGGGAGCAGTCCAGACCAGGCCAGGACATGGCGCTTACCAGCATACATTTGGTGCAGGTTGGGGGTGGACCCAGCTGGGCCAGTTCACATCACCTGCTAGCGAACCCTAGCACCAGAATAGTGGTTTGGTTGCAACACATATCAGTATGTGTGAGGGCTAGGACTGCTGCCAGCTGAGCTGCGCTAGGCTGTAACCCCCATTGGCATGAGCTGGAATTGGGGGTGGGTTGGATGGGCCAGGCCAGGCTACAGCACCTACTGGCAAATACCGAGGTGAGGCAGGCCATGCCAGATCAGGCCGTGGCGCCCAACCAACACATACGAGACCCAAGGTGGAGGGGACAAAGCCAGTAGTGGGGCTGTGTGGGGCTCTCCTGTTGAATCACCATTCCCACTGGAGAGTGTGAGTTGGGATGGGGGCAGACCAGACCGGGCAGAGCTACAACACCTGTTGGTCTCATGTGAGCTGGACCAGGGAAAAAGCCAGGTTCAGTTGACTGTTCCTACTGGTACAAGCGTCAGAGTGGGTGTGGGTTGGTTGGGCTCTGCCACAGCATCAGATGGCAGATGCTGGCACAGAGGGCTAATTCTGTTAAGCCAAACTGCAGAACCACCTGAAAAGTGCATGATCTGGGAGTGGGCCCATAGGGAAACAGTGGGCACCTTCCTCTTGGATTGCCACTCTGTCTGGTGAGCAAGAGAACCAGGACTGGGGAAGGCGTGGCTAGACAGAGCGGCACCTGTCAGCATGTGTGTGGGCTGAATAGGGGGGCTGGTTGGGTTGAACTAGGCTTTAATTCCTATTGGCATGTATGAAAGCTGAATGGGATGTGGGACAGACTGGACCAGTCTGCTGTATATACTGGCAAGCATGGGAACCAGGGAAGAGGCAGGCCTGGTGGGGGTTATTGTAGGTCGCTCCAACTAGGCTGCAGCTCCCACTGGTTTGTGTGAGGACCTAGTGTGTGGTGAGCAGGATTAGGTTGGGTTCCAGCACCCACTGGTTTATGTAGAAGACAGGGCTGGAGGCAGAACTGACCCAGCAATTGCAACCACCAGCTTATGCATAGGCTGGAGTTACGGACTGTGCCTGATTCTGTGCTGGCAAGCACACACAAGAATCTGGTCTGGGATCACCTCAGACAAAGTTTCTTTGGGGACACCCCCAGTCGAACTGCTGAACTCAATGAAGAGAATTGCAGGTTCCATGGTTTGGCCGTGGAGTGCACGTGTCAAAGCTGAGCCTCTTCAGTGGCTCAGATGGAGCAGTGGACAGCATATCCAGGTGCACATGGAGGATATGACAGTACACCAGAGCCCACATAGGACACGTGGCACCACAACAGAGGATGAGGACAGAACAAATCGATCAACTACCCCAGCCATGTGTTGACAGTGAAAATCTGGGCAAGTGGAAACGTTAAGGTGGACGATGTCAGCCAGTGGATTCTGAAGAGATTTCATCGTGCTTGGAATGATGCGATTGGCAGCAATTGAGAACAGCTAAACTACTGAAACCACTTGAGCATTGCCCTGAGAGCATGCCCCACATGCAATGGTTGGGAGGCTGGGTGTGGCTTCTCCCTTTGTATCTCTCCTTCCCCCAGATACAGAAAGGAAAAAAGAGAATGTGGAAACAATGGCCTTACCCACTTTCCTGCAGTCCTTGACCCTTTGAGCCCTAATCAATTATGTAAAGATCATAAAAAAAAAAAAAAAGCTTTTCTCACAGGTAGACTCGAGTCCCTGGGAACAAACACCCCAGACCATGGCTGTGAGTCACGGTGGATTCTTGCAGCTTACTGATGAGGCCCATAGCGCCTGCAGGCGGTGTATGTGTATGTGTGGTGTATGGGGTGTGTGTGTGGTGCGTCGGGGGTCTGGGCTCGCCCTATGGACTCCCCAGCCCCTGGAGCCTTAGTACCACTGGCTCGCGTCAGGCACACTCACAGTGGTGATGAACACAGTGCCAACCCAATGGGGAGCGAGTGCTTCTGCTGGGCCCCCTGCAGCACTGTGGGAGACCCTTGGCCCAACCCTTCCCCACAGACGCACCTCCAGTACACACCAAAGCTGTATTCCTCTCCCTTCCCACAGGCACCAGGGCATACAGGTGCCAATGAATTTCCTGCAGTGGACAGGCTGGCTCATTCCCTGCCCACAGGGACTCAGGACCTCCAGGCTAAACCTTAAACCTCCCAGGGACCAGCCAGGGTTGGCTTGACAGCAGCCTTAGCACACTGAACCCCAACCAAAAAGTTCCCTCTCTCCTCAGCCTCTGCCATGAGGAAACTGCTGCTCTTGCTCAGAATGACATAAGCTGACCACAGCCTGAACTCTGTGGTCCTCACAGAGTGCCTGGGGGCCTTGCTGGGGCTGAATGGATTCCAGCCCAGCACATGGACTGCTGGAACCCAGGTCCCAGGATCCCTGTCCTGGGAAGGAGTAGGGGGAGGGACACACATACTGGCTCCTTCAGTCAGGAGACCCCAGTGCGGTGCTCGCTCACACAACCCCACAGAGGGCAGCTGCTGCCAGCCAGGAGAAAGGGGTAGGGAGTCCTCACCAGAGCTGCCCAGGCTGCTCGGATCCTGGACTTGCACCTGCAGAACTAGAAATGATTGTGTGCTGACCAGGCACCAAGTACCAAAACCACAGCTGGACACAGGTGCGGCCATTCCCCAAGCTGGATGCAGACATATGTCCTGCCTTGCCCCAGGCCAGCCATATCAGGGGAAGACCAGAGAACAGCTGTCCTTTGCCCAGCCAGATGCTGGCAGCTCAGTCTCCCACTCAGCTGCTGGCCACATGTGACAGCCCAGTGTTTTCCACTCCTTTGGGGGATACTTGCATTCCATGCCCGAGCTTTCCTGCAGTCTCCTGCCTGGGAGCCAGCATAGAGCTCACCAGCCATGGCTGCTCTGAGCACAATGCCATATACAAACCTCACTCCATGGTAACCCTCCCTCTCCTGGGCCACCTCCTTTGCCATGCTCGTTAGCAGACAGCAGCCACCAGGGCCTTCCTAAGGCTGGTCAGTGTGGATGGGGGCAAGGAGTATGGGTGTGGGCATGCTGTTTTACCAGTAAAGAGTCTCATCAAGATGGCAGGGAGGCCTGGGCCAGCACTGCACATGGCAGCTGTGTGAGGTCACAGAGCAGGGCTGCAGTGGGATAAGCACACACAGGCTCAAAGCTGTCAGAAGACTTGCACACACATGTCCATGTGTGTAGGACACACACAAATGCAGGGCCACATGTGTGTGCAGCAGGAGGGACTGGGAGAGCGGAAAGGAGAAGAGTCCTTCAGGTGGCAGGAGGCAGGCAGGTGCACACACACCTGCTCCTCCTGGCTGCTGGTGCCTGTGAGCGGTAGCTATCTCTGAAACATCCTTCATCCATCACCAGGACACTTGCATAAAAAACCCATTCTTGATGTCTGAGTGGGACCTGACACGCCCTCACAAGTTCCTAAGGAGGCTGAGGAGGTGCCGGCAATGAGGAGGAGGGGGTGCAGGCTGAGTCGGCCAGGACAGCGGAGGCCGCTGTGGCTCCAGGAGTTTTTGGCCTGCCATGGAGCATGATGGACCCTCAAGGACTGTGGGTGCCATGGCCAACAGCACTGCCAGGCAGCCCACGGGGGTGAGAACCGGAGGGGAGCGAAGGTCTCTGCACAGGGCGGGCTGTGCCAGCAGCCAAGCGGCTGTACTGCTGGCTGAAGCGCAGGAATGGCCTGCACCAAGACATTTAGCTGCGAGGGTCTTTGAGCCGCTGACAGCTGACTGATGACCGGGCACAGCCCACAAAAGGAAGCTGGGTGGCGGCCGGCATCACACGGTCTCTCCCTGGGAAACTAATTGCTCCCAATTGTTTGGGGGGACATTATTTTTCTGGCAATCATTTCCTTTGAATGCCTAAAATGAGCATGAAGCAACTCTTTTGACTGGACATAAAAGTTAAATGTCCCAATGTTGATCAAATTAACTTCAGCACTGTGACAATGGACTGCATTTGTGAGAAAATAATGGGGGACAGAGGCGTGCTTTATGCCCAGATTTCACACTCGTGATGTAAAAACGTCTCCTTGGAGCCGCCCAGCTGCTGGTGCAGAATCTGAGTGCAAGCCTTGCTCGGGAAGCTTCCAGCGGGCTCTGGCTTGGTTCCCCCAGGGGGGTCCTGAGGGACTGAGGTTGTGCCCAGGGCAGGAGCCTGCCCCCACCTGGTTCAGGTAGAACAACTGCGGATGAGGCCCTGGAGTCCAGAGATAGCCACTCCTAGGGGTTTGTCTTCCTTTCTGAGCACTCAGCACTTGATTCAAAGTAACAAGACAGTGCAGGGTGCACACAGATATAAGGCAGTCTGTTTGTGGCAAGAAAGTCAGACGGATCCAGCAGGTGAGCTTAAATACTGAAAACAGCATCACCTACTGATGCCTCCAACGTCTCCACCTATCTCAAGCAGGAGTGGGGTTGTTCCTCCTGAGCAGGGCACATTGTGGGTACAGAGCCCTGCACCTGCTTGGAGCCCCCAGCACACACACAGTGAGTGCCGTTTTGTCAGGCGCTCCCAAAGCATTAACAAAAACAGTTTGCCTTTTTGCAGTCTCAACTTTTTCATCCTGGGATCAACTTTGCAGACGCCTCTCAGCTCTCATAGGGTCCTTGGCAGGCTCCAGTGGTAGGGAGTGGAGGAGGGCGGGACTGCTAGGCTGCCCTGCCCTCACTCCGAGCCGCATGCTCCTACAGTGGACAGGAAGGTCAACCAGGAAAGGGCAGGTCTCTCCCCCCACCCTGCTCTAGCAGCCTCCTTGCTGTCCCCTTGCACCTCAGCAGAGCTGACAAACAACCCTCTTGCAGTTCCCAGTGCCCTGTGAATGCGGCGCCGTTGGTGGCAGCGTCCATTCAGAGGGCCAGCGCGGCATTGTCCTTCTCGAACAGCCCGGCAGAATGCAGTCTGCTGGTGGCTGCCAAAAGGTTAGCAGCGCCGATGAAAGGGCAGCCCATTATGCACCCTCGACAGAGCTTGCCTTTGTGTGTGCCGGCCCGCGCCGGAGGTCCGGATCTGCGGCCGGCTGAGCTGCGGAAGTCCTCGTGGGAATGCGGGCGCAGGGCCACATCCAGATCCCCAGCGCTGTGGTGCGGGACCAAGGCACATTCTAATATCACAGCCACCGAGACCCAAGGGCCCTCCAGGTACTCTGGGGGCCTGTGCTATCATGCAGGACTCCAAAACTTGGCACCCAAAGAACTGACCATCCTGTGGATGGGGCCTGGTCCAGAAGGGCAGAGGCAGGGTTTTCTGTGAGTGTGATGGTCAGTTGGGTGCCACTCTGAGGGCAGCCAACACGGGGCTGTAGGGGCCTCTGGGCAAAGGGGCAGCCACAACAGGTTGGGCAAAATGCAGGACACAGGAGGCAGAAGTAAGGGGACCCCGGGACAAGGATAGCCAGTGCCACCTTACCAGGAAAGGCCCTAAGTCCACAGTCACCTCAGGACAGCACTCCTGGCCACGGAGCACCTAGCCAAGCACAGAGCCAAGGCCACATCCCGGCACGGGGCAGTGAGGCTCTGTACCCACACCCCGGCACGGGGCAGTGAGGCTCTGTACCCACACCCCTGGCACGGGGCAGTGAGGCTCTGTACCCACACCCCTGGCACGGGGAAGTGAGGCTCTGTACCTACATCCCGGCACGGGGCAGTGAGGCTCTGTACCCACACCCCTGGCACGGGGCAGTGAGGCTCTGTACCCACATCCCTGGCATGGGGAAGTGAGGCTCTGTACCCACACCCCTGGCACGGGGCAGTGAGGCTCTGTACCCACATCCCTGGCACGGGGCAGTGAGACTAGGTACCCACACCCCTGGCACGGGGCAGTGAGGCTCTGTACCCACACCCCTGGCACGGGGAAGTGAGGCTCTGTACCTACATCCCGGCACGGGGCAGTGAGGCTCTGTACCCACACCCCGGCACGGGGCAGTGAGGCTCTGTACCCACACCCCTGGCACGGGGCAGTGAGGCTCTGTACCCACACCCCTGGCACGGGGAAGTGAGGCTCTGTACCTACATCCCGGCACGGGGCAGTGAGGCTCTGTACCCACACCCCTGGCACGGGGCAGTGAGGCTCTGTACCCACATCCCTGGCATGGGGCAGTGAAGCTCTGTACCCACACCCCTGGCACAGGGCAGTGAAGCTCTGTACCCACATCCCTGGCACGGGGCAGTGAGACTAGGTACCCACACCCCTGGCACGGGGCAGTGAGGCTCTGTACCCACACCCCTGGCACGGGGAAGTGAGGCTCTGTACCTACATCCCGGCACGGGGCAGTGAGGCTCTGTACCCACACCCCTGGCACGGGGCAGTGAGGCTCTGTACCCACATCCCTGGCATGGGGCAGTGAAGCTCTGTACCCACACCCCTGGCACAGGGCAGTGAAGCTCTGTACCCACATCCCTGGCACGGGGCAGTGAGACTAGGTACCCACACCCCTGGCACGGGGCAGTGAGGCTCTGTACCCACACCCCTGGCACGGGGAAGTGAGGCTCTGTACCTACATCCCTGCACGGGGCAGTGAGGCTCTGTACCCACACCCCTGGCACAGGGCAGTGAGACTAGGTACCCACATCCCTGGCACAGGGCAGTGAGGCTCTGTACCCACACCCCGGCACGGGGCAGTGAGGCTCTGTACCCACACCCCTGCACGGGGAAGTGAGACTAGGTACCCACACCTCTGGCTCCCCTGTGTGCAGGTGGCAGGTCCTCAGGCTTTGGCTCTTTTTTTGGAGGGGAGATGTATGGCCGCAGCGGGGACACTGAGGACGAGCTGATCCAGTGGGCAGGGTGTTCCCCAAGGACCAGAAGCCCCTGCATTGGCTCCTATAGAGGCTGAGCAGTGAACACAAGCCTGGGAGAGGGCATGGGGCAGTGAGGAAGGCGCCTTGGAGATTCCCACCCCGCCAGGGCTCAGCTAACATGCCCAGGGGTAGCAGAGGATGGCTCAAGAACTCCAGGCCCTGTTACATGGGGGAGACCCAGAGGCAGAGCTCCTGGCTTTGTCCTGGCTTTGCCTGGCTGTCACAGGCATCTGGGGAGTGAACCAGTAGGTAGAACATCTCTCCCATCTCTTTCTCTACCTTTCAAGTAAGAATAAAAACAGGCTCCAGCAAGGTTCCCTTACTTCCTGTTCCCATGGGGTCCCCTGTATACTACCTGATGCTAGCTACTCCATGGGGGTCACCCTGGCTCCATCCCCGGACTCTCTGGTGCTGTGGCTCTTCATGGAACAGCTTCAGCCTTAGAGAGCAGACACACATGGCAGGGCAGGTACGTGTGAAAGGGGACACCAGCCAGCAGTTGGAACCCAGTCTGTCTCCAAGCCACGTCACACATGCATGTTCACTGACATGGACTCACGTGCGCGTGCGTACACACTGCTTAGAGGCACTGCTCCCAGCAGCCTCACCTACCTGTCGTACACATTCACTCTTGTGTACACACGCATGCATGTGCACTCACACACACAAGGGGTTATGAGGACGGGCCTGCACGCTCCCAGGCAGTTGCAATGCCTTAGCCCCACTTGAGCCTGGATCACCTGGCCAGGGGCTCTTCCATTCCATTCTCACAGCTGGCGATGTGCAGACCCTGGAGGTCCCCTCAAGTGTCAGAGCTCTCTGTGCCCCACCCCAGCGACTCCTCTCTGGGTGGAGTCCCCACAGCCCAATCACGGCCTCTGACTGCATGGCCCAAGTGCTTCCAGCAGAGCCAACTGAAGCATCCTGCCAGTTGTGTGCCAGTTCTCCTGTCACTGGGGCAGGAGACACTGGCCATTCACTGGAGTACTCCAGGGGTGAGAGGTCATGGGAGATGCCAGACATGGGGGGTGTGGTCAGGAGAGCTACATCCCCACCCCTCCTCCCCAGGAAACAGCCTGGCTGGCGGGACAGGATGGAGGAGTGGAGGAACGGGCTGGGGAGGAGCTATTTTCTTATCCTCCTCATACATCACCCAGGAACATGGCCTCAGGGGTGGCACCCACCTGTCCAGCACATAGCCCAGTGCCTTGTGCCGGATGCCTGAGTACACGGATGGGCTCGTTTCCCAGGCAACCAGGTTGGATGCGTCGTGGAAAAGATGGATGTTCACCAAATCGAAGGCGCTACAAATAAGAGAGGGAAGGACTCAGTCACCAAGAGCTGGAGCCAGTGTGGACAGTTAAATCTCTCCCAGGGACATGTCCCCCCACCTGCCCCGTGAGGCCCAGGCGGGCCTAGAGCACATCTACAAGCAGCAGCAGCAGGACGCCATGGCCTCCCAGTCGGGGGAACGGGGCCCAGACAGGGGCGGGGCCTCAGCTGTGGGTAGGGGCACAGGGAAGGGCATACACCCCAAGGACGGATGTGGTGGAGCCCAGGTGGACCCATCACGTGAGGTGTCGGCAAAGCTGGACCTGTGGGACACTTACACCCCATGTGCCCTGGGTCGACCGTGCCATGTGTACTCTCTCACTGTCCTGGGGTGTCCCCCAGTCAGGGGCAAAGGGCAGCAGTGCTGGCAACAACCTCCCAGGCACCTGACTTGTCCCCAAGTCACCTTCCCTAACTGCCGGGGGTTTTGTCTAGAGCAAGGACAGGCTGTACGGGAAGAAGCTCCAGCCTGCAGCAGCATGGTGGACCTGAGCCCGCTGGGCCATCACAGACAGCAGCCAGCGCTGTGGCATGGCAGCTGAAACCCTTGCCATGTGTCTGGCTGCTCTGGTTTAGTTTCCTGCTAAACCTGGGAGAGCAGTGACATGGCCCAAGAAGAGTTAGAGAACATTCTGGAAACTGCCTACAAATGGGGACATACCAGTCAGCGAGGCACCACCTTGTCCGGATGAAGCCCTTTCGTGACCATTTACACTGAAACACAAGCAGATGCAGTGTCAGCTGCATGATGGCAGACAAGAGGCCTGCTGCAGGACAGACAGCCCTTGCTGGCGCCTGGGCCGTCAGGGAGGACCAGGGCTTGTGGCCAATAGGCTCTTCACTCCATGTGGCACACAGCCTTGATGCCTCCCACTCCCAGGAGCAGCCAGGCAGCAGGGGATTGGGAGGGCCGGCAGACACTCAAAGCGAGGGTCCACCATCTCCACAGGACTTGGCTGTGTCAGGCACTGAACAAACCCCACCTGGTCACTCACTGGGCAACTGTGCCCAGGTGGCCCAGACATCCCCTCCCACAGGGCTGCAAGGAGATGCTTGGATGAAATGTCCCTCAAGGAAGCCTCCCACATTGCTGACTGTCCAGGACGCACAGCCACCCTGCACCATGCTCTGACAGCCCACGGCTCCGTGTTGGCTTCGCAGGCAGCTGCTGTGCACAGCTGTCCTCCCAGAGCAAGCGGCGCCCCTGCCTGGACACCTGTGCTCACACCCAAGGCCGCCACCAAGTGGCTGAGTCACATCATCCTCCACATCGTTCACCAGGGAGAAATGAGGGCCAGGAGCAGCAGTGCCCTACAGAAGTACCAGAGCCAGGCCTCCGCTTCCTAATTCCTCGTGCTCCCTCTCTGGAATGCCCGGATGCAGTGTGCCTCAGAATCTGCACACACAATGCCAGCGGGAGCTGCAGGGGTCACCTTTCCTTGTGGCTTCCCTACCAAATGACCAATCTGAAATACGCACACACGTCAGTGTACACACCCTGCTGTAAGACACATTCCCGCATGTGTACAAACACCATATAGTACCCACCCACACAGGTGCGCATTCACGCATGTGTGCACACACACACGGTGGGAAGTGCCTACCCTGTGCCTCCAGTGCACAGGGAAGGCAAACAAGGGGCCACAGACCCACAGGTCCTAGATGGAAAGATGTCCGTGGTCTGGGCCCTGTAATGTTGGTCGAGGACACGTGGGTCTGGACTGCTCTGGGTCCTGGAACTTTCTGGCCCTGAGTGTCTTTGAAGCCCACCCCTGGCTCCAGGCTGCTTGCTGGCATACAGCTGTCACCTGGAGACACTGAGTACGCCGACGGCCAGGAGGCAGCCTCGCCTTCCCCTCACGGCACGCTCTCCCTGCCCAGGCCTGATAATGGGTCCCTTCAGTGGGCAGATGGATGGCGTGCACAGGCAGCTTCATCTCCTCAAAGGCAGCATAAATCGCAGGAGCAAGGGGAGGCCGCGGGGAGGTGACCAGCACACGGCCCTTGCCACACAAGGCCTGCTTCGCGCATTAGTGGAATGAATCCATCTTTCATACACGCCTGCGGCAGGGCCCGTGATCTATGATAACAACCAATTTCTCACCACGGGCACAGGGAAAAAATCACTCGTCCTGATCGACTACACAAATCTGCTTTTTAAAAATGGCTTCCCATTATCCGGAGTGTTGCTCCCGCAGGTGTCATCTGCAATCCGCACAGAGTCGAGTGCAGCCATCCATCAGCAGTGTCTGTGAGTCCTGCGCAGCAGCGCCTGTGTTGGCACTCGGCTTCTTGCCGTGGCCAGTGGACTCAGCTCTCCTACAAGTGGCAGCACCCAGCCCCGGGGGATGGGCTTAGCTGGAGCAGGGGTCTGCACAGAGGCACAGGGCAGAGCTGGGAGAACGTCTCTGGACCCCTTCCTTCACACAGCCTGTCCCCCTACTGGGAAGTCTGTGCACTCAAATGGGCCACAGAGCAGGGGGATACCACAGCCTACAGGTTAAAGTGGATTTTCTCCTGTTAACATCATGGGGGTAGGGGAAACA